TTACATTAAAAAAAAATCTTCAAATCCAAAATCTATGGGATGTAGCGAAAGCTCTTTTATGAGGAAAGTTTATAGTAATAAATGCCTATGTTAAAAAGTAGAAAGACCCCAAATAAATAATCTAATATTATGCTGCAATGAACAAAAAAAGAACAAACTTAAACCAAAATTAGCAGAATAAAGGAAATAATAAAAATCAGAAAAGAAATAAATCAAATCCAGAAAAGACAAAGAAACCGAGTTGTTTAAAAAAAATAAATAAACAAAATTGACAACTCTTAGCTAGACTAACATTAAAGAGAGAAAGAGAAGACCAAAATAAATAAAATCAAAAATAAAAAAGGAAAAATTAAAACAGATGACTCAGGAAAAAACAAAGGATCAAAAGGGACCAACAAATTGAATAACCTAGAGGAAATGCATTAATTTCTAGAAAAATACAACCTACCAAGATTGAGTTAGAAAGAAATAGACTGAACACACCAATAACAAATATAGAAATTGAAAAAGTACTTTTAAAAATCTCTCAATAAAGTAGGACCAGATGGCTTCATAGCTTAATTCTGCAAAGCATTCAAAGAAGAACTAATATGAATACTTGTTTCAACTCTTCCAAAAAATAGTTTGAGGGAATACTTCCAAACACATTTTATGAGACCAGGATCACGCTGATATTTAAGCCAAAGATACCACAAGAAAAGAAAACTATAGGCCAATTTCTTTGAGGATTTTTGGATCAATATTTATCAATGAAACATTAGCAAAACAAATCCAGCAGCACATGCAAAAGAATATATATTATAACTAAGTGAGATACATCCGTGACATGAAAGGCTGATTTGTCATATCCAAATCAATGTGATGTATCACAGTAATAAAATGAAAGGTAAAGCCACGTGATCATCTCAAATTCAAGTCAGAAAAAGCATCCAACAAAGTCTCATTTTCTTATTTAATAAAAACTCTCAACAGTCTATAGAAGAAAAGTTCCTTGATAAAATAAGGCCATTTGTGAAAAACCTACAGTGAAGTCAATGGGACAAAATTGGAAGCTTTTCCACTAAGATCTTGTACAAACCAAGAAAACCCACTTCTATTCAACAAAGTACTGGAAGTACTAGGAAGAACAGCAAAAAAAAAAAAAAAAACGTAACTAAATGGGAAAGGAAGACTCTCTCCTTGTAGCTGACATAATTCTATATGTAAAATTCTTCAAAGATTACACACACACACACACACACACAAATACAAGCTATGAAAACTAATAAATGGATTCAGTGAAGTTGCAAGCTAAAAGATGAACATAAAAACATCAGTAGTATTTTTACACACAAATAATGGCCTAATTGGTAAAGAAATCAAGAAAGCAATCTCATTTATCATAGCACCAAAAATAATTAACTCTCTAGGACCAAGTTTAACCAAAGCAGCAAAAGATCTATATACAGAAAAGACAATGAAAAAGTGGGCAAAAGATCTGAATAGACATAACATTGAAGACACAAAAATGGCCAGCACATAGATGAAAAGATGCTTCACATCATTAATTATCATAGAAGTGCAAATCAAAACCACTATATGATGCCACCTCACTCCCACTAGGATGACTTTTATTAAAAAGTCAAAGATGAAATTGAAGGGGTTGCTCAGTGGTAAAGCATTTGCAAGGCCCTGGGTTGATCCTCAGCACTGAAAAAAGTTAAATTAGAAAATCAAAGATAGCAAATGTTGGCAAAAGTGTGAAGAAAACTGTTAGTGGAAATGTAAATCAGTAGAGCCATTTTTGAAAAACGGTATGAAAGTTTCTAAAGAAATTAAAAATATAACTACCCTATGACCCAGAAGCCCTCCTCTGAGCATATACCCAAAGGAAATAAAATCACTACATCTCAAAGAATATCTGCACTCCCATGTTCATTGCTTCACCATTCACAGTAGCAAAGATTATACAATATTTTTCATAGAAATAGAAAAATCAATCATAAAATTCACATGGAAACATAAAAGAGCCCTAGTAGCCAAAACAATTCTTAGAAAGATAAACAAAGTTAGAAGTACCACACTTCCTGATTTAATATTATATTGCAAAGCTGTAGAATCATTGCCACACTACACACAATGGAATATTATTCAGTACTAACAAATAATGTGATATTGTCATTTGCTAAAATGGATGTTACACTGAATGAAACAAGCTAACCACAGAAAAAAATATATATTTCATGATATCACTTATATGAGGTGTCTGACCTCATATCTGTGTGAATTCAGGAATATTCAGAGGTGCAATGATTTGATTATGAAAGCTGTAACCTAATCAGTCCATCTTAGTTTTGCGTGTACTAACTGGGTAGTGACTATAGGCAGGTAAGCTGTGGCTGAAGGAGGTGGGTCAGCGGAAGCATGCCCTGCAAGGGTTCATTTTCCCTGCATCTCTTTCCTCTGGCCCTCTGCCTCCTGGCTGCCAGGAGTTGAATAGCACTTTTCACCATGCCCTTTACCATGATATTCTGCCTAACCTTAGACCCAGAGTTGGTTGACCATGGAATGAGCCTCTGAAACCATGAGCCAAAGTAAACTTTTCCTTCTCTAAGTTGTTCTTGTCAGGAGTTTGTGTTAGTCAGATGTTTGTCACTGTAAACAACGAGATCATGAAGGTGGTTCTTAAAAACATGAGTGTGTTTTTAAGATGAGGAAGGGTCCTGAACTAGCACCTTTGCTCTGTCTCGCCATGCAATGCGCTCAGTCATGTTTTGATGCAGCAAGAAGGCCCTACTAGATGCTGAGTAGATGCATAATGCTCTTGAACTTCCCAGCCTCCAGAATGGTGAGTTAAATAAACTCCTATTCTTTTAAAATTATCCAGTCTGTGGTATTCAGTTACAGCAATAGAAAATGGACTAAGGCAGTTACTCAAGGGGAAAATTTGAATATTAGAACATCATTTAACTCATTTGTAGTTTAATTTTAAAGACAGCAGAATTGTATGTATGTGCATGTGTGTGTATTTTAATTGTCCTACTAGTAAGTAGATATATACACTGGAATCAATAAGGTTTAAAGTCTTGCACTTTAAAAATGTGTATTTTTTTAATCATGGAGAGGTTTTCCAATACATCTTATAGGCAAGTAACAGATCCAAATGTTTTCATTTTTTAAATATTTTTATCTGCCAAGGAGTGATCCTCAAATTTTTATTTAATTCATTTTCAAATACCACTTTGTTAAAGGTCTCTGTAACAGACTTAAAAGAAAGGTTATAAACTAATTCAAGCTTTACATTATTATATTCTTTCTGCATATTCTTTAAATGAAGAGGAAAGGTCTAGGCATAAGTTGGAATTTTTGTCAACCCAGACACAGTATTAGAGACATATACTTTTTTCATTCCCAGATTTCATCTTCCCTGGATTACTAGGAAATGATAAAGTGAAAGAAATCAAAATGTCAGAAGCAGAAGGAAGGTAAACTGAGGTGATCTACTGACCCCACTGGCCATGATTTACCTAAGAAGTCAGTCACTTTGAGTATCCATGAGTCGAAGACCACTTTGTGTTGTTGGGAATCACCTTCACATAATCTGCTGGCTGAGGCAAATGAGTTAAATCTCAAATGCTAGAAATACAGTATATTGGTCAAACACAATAGATTCAATCTTGACCATCCCTGAGAAACTTTCAGATGAAGAAGCATTTCCAAAGAGAACAATTGTGTAAAAAGATTCTGACAATCTTTCTTACTTATCAATGAATTTTTCAAATAAAACTTATAAGAATATATCAAGAGCTATGTAATGTTTTGAACAGCCAACAATAAAAAAAAAAAAACTTATAAGAAATAATTACATTTTCCTACCCCTTAGGCTCATTTGAACTAAAATAAAATTTCAAACATACAACCTGGTAAATAGCACTATATATCCTGCTCATTCAACCTGGGGTTACCAAAACCTTCCTGGTGTCATCATCAAGACAGCTCTGATTCGCCTATTATACTGTTATTTTCTCCCAGGAAGACTCAGGCCAAGATGAAATGGGACTAAGGTGCAGCACAGAGAAAAGGAGGAATATGGAAAGCACTGGAAGGCTGGAAGGCTGGAAGGCTGGGAGTGTGAAATGGGCTAGGCTGAGAGGGAATTTAATTGGAGATCCTGAGCCCAAGAGCAACAAAATGACAAAAGGCTAGGATGGCCTTTTATAAGAAATTGAAAAAAAATGGGTAAATGGATCAAAAGCCAACTTCACTTTATCCACCACTCTATCTCCAGCATGTCCTACTCTTCCAGGCTTAGAGCAGCAACTACAGGCAGGTGGGGAGAGGGCCAGGAGTACACAATTATCTGTCTGCCTATACCAATGCACCTTCCTTCCCCCATGTCGGCTAACATTTCCTAAGAAGGCAGAACACAAACAGAATACCTGTGGGTTGATGAAGAAGTATAAACAGGCGGAGAATAGCAAAGCACCTGTTACACCTCCCTTCTTAGGGGGGTCAATTTTGCAGCACTTTCTGAGTTCCTGCAGGCTGTTTTAGCTTTTCATTATGTAAAGGTAACCCTCCCACATCCTGTTACTTCAGAGATGGTGGGGGTCTGTACTCAACTATCATCACAAACTCAAGACCCTGGTTGGTGTAGAAACGTCGTTCGCATTAGTTTCTTTGGGGACTGGAGGAGACCTGGGATAATCGAGGTGGGTGGGGCTAAGCCGTAGGGGACAGCGTAGATAAAGGACTACATCTGTAGGCCGACCTGCCCATTTGCCAGTCATCGTCATCGTCCACCAGCGAAAGAAGAGCAAAGAATCGGGACGCTATCCCCAGGGGCTCCGCTTGCAGAACCCAGGAACCCAGGAGCTCACCAGGACGCCCCCTGCTACCCTCCCCGGGACCTGCTTTCTTCCTTCGCCCAGACCTAGAGAGCAAACGCCCCAGGCAGAGGCGTTATAATAGCCACCCTTGGACTGCACAGCGCTCGAAACAGAAAACGATTCTCCGGCAGCGGCCACCAGAGGGCACCTGCGGGCGACGCCCTGGGCGGAACCCTGCGAAAAGAAAAATCGTGAGAGGCGGGGCCAGGGGCTGGAGCGGCGGAAAAGCCCTTCGCTGCTCTCGGCAGTGCGTCTCGCCCTCTCTTCTCACTTCCGGTCCCACTTCCCTTCCAGACTGGCTTTCTCTGAGACCGCAAAGAGCTGCCCTCTGCTCCCCGCCCGGCACGCTGAAGCCCCCCCGCCCCTCAAGGATGCATTACCTAGTGCCGCGGTCACCGTCACCGTCACAGGCACCCTCAACCCCACCCCCAGCCCGTCCCCGGTCCCTCTCTCTCCCTCACCCGCACCTGTTCGCAAGCTCCCGGGGATCCCAGGTGCGGGCAACCGGGAAATTCCACGCCCCGCGGAGACCCGCCAGCTCTGGGGAGGGGAAAGGGGGACGCGCAATCCAGTGACGCTCCCGGGCAAATATCCCAGGTGCGTTTGAACCCCTCAGCAGGCTCGGCCACTGCTCCCAGGACCCGCGGCCCTGGCCAGTGCACCCTGTTGGTTCCCCCCAAGTTGAAGGGAGGGATACGCGGGTACCCGACCAGTCTGGGAACCCGGAATCCCATATGGAGTCCCATTCATGCTGTACAACTGGGTTCCCGCCTTTTTGCAATGGGATTCTTGTCCAGAATCTGCGAATCTTCTAGGAGGACAGTTCTTGGTTTTGTTAGAATGAGAAGTTTCCCTGATTTTTAGAAAGACCACGGGGGTAAAATTCAGCTGAGTGTTCTTGAATAGTTATGATTAAATTTGAAGCAACAACTGAATTTTAGTCGGTTGGGTGCGAAGTAGCAGATTTGTATGGACCTACAGGCCTGCAGTGTAGTATGCAGACTCTTAGAAACATCTTCCACTTTGTGGATTTGTTTTAGTTGAAATTCATTTCCACAGAACTTAAATTGCTATTTCTTACTGATTTTACATCAGAGGATCCACAGACTTTCCTGGATTGCAGCCACGGGTTAAAGGGCTTGGTGGTACAAAACATTTTTCCGGCCCAGTTTCCCAGACCAAATTTGTCCTCTTTTTCTCTTCTAGATTGTGCCTTTTTAGCCAAGAAGTATGGAGGTGATTCATGGCAGGCCCTACTGTTGCAGGGAGTTAGAAAGAGCTGACATTCTCTCAGACACTTTGTTCTCTAATGAACTACACACTCCGCTACTATCAACCACTCGCCCAACTGCCTCAGAAGACAGGTAAAACAAAAATTAGAAGCAACAACTTTAAAAATGGTTTCAATATATTAGTGTATTTTTTATGAAAAAATAAAAAGTAAACATTTGTTCTGGGGCTCTTGTGTTTATCACATCATAGGGAAGGGAAAACATGACCATGTAGTGTCCCTATTTGTTAGGAACTTGGCGAAAGTAAGTTGATGTGTAATTTGATTCAGACATCAAATTCTTCACTACATTCTAGAACTCTAGAGTGGTCACTTCCATCATTTAAAAATTAATTTTAGTCAAGATTTTTTGTTTTATGAAAAGTGTTTGTGGTAGTTCACTTTCATCCTCTAACACCATCTGCTCAAAAATACTCCCAGGATTTGTTGCTCATAGTTACTGTATGAATATTTGCTTTACAAAATTTCCTATAACATATTACTCATTATGATTAAAATCTAACATATGGAGTGATTACTGTGTGTCAGCACTGTACTAAGTGCTTTATGTGCAGTAATTCTTTTAATCCTCATGATAACCTTATGAGATGCAAACTATTATCCCCATTTTACATATGAACAGATACAGACAAGTAATTTACCAAGAACTTAGTGTCTGCTTTTCCTATATCTGGTTTATTTGAATTATTTTGAGGGAGGGAAAAAAAATCTCAAAACACTAGGTGAATAGCCTGTGTAGTCATGTTCCCGTTTTGTGATTCAGACTCTTCGAAACATCTTCAACTTTGTGGATTTGTTTCAGTTGAAATTTTTAATTGGCCAGATTTCTTAGTTAAGAATTATTTTTAGAAACTCAGACAGAAAATCACCTACCTTCAGTTTGAAAATTTCCAAAATAAGACATCACTACCATGAAAGTAGTTCATTACATTTTTGTTGTTGTTTGTTGTTTTATTTTTTAGTTGTAGTTGGACACAATACTTTTATTTTATTTATTAATTTTTATGTGATGCTGAGGATCAAACCCAGGGCCTCGCACATGCTAGGTGAGAACTCTACCACAACCCCAGCCTGCATTACATTTTTTAATGTTCTTGATCATTAGATAATTCTTTCTAATGAGAACATTTTTTTTTCCTTGTAATTTCTACCTGATGATTCTGGTTCTTCCCTCTGAAGCCATGAAAATAATAAAACTCAGCATCCCCATGCTAGCAGCCCTTGAAGAGTTTGAAGACTCTTTTGGCCCCTCTATAGGTTCTTGTTGCCAGATGCAACAGCATTCTCCCAGATTTTGCTCTGCTTGCATTGAGGCTTTCACCATCTTGATCAGACTTCATGGATCTATTCCAGTTTACGGATATACTATTTACATTCATCAAGAAAAAGAAAGGTTTTTCTTTTAATTACAAAGGTAATGTGCTCTTTACACATAATTTGGAAACCGAAAAAAAATCCAGAGAAAACAAATTCTCCATTTATCCAACAGAAAAAATATGAATTAAAGAACAAGGAAGAAAACTTGTATACATCTTTTATCCAGAAACAGTAATCACTGAAATTTATAACTCAATGTTTCTTCTTAATTTTTTTTAAATGTAAAGATCATATTCAACAAAATTTTTTGTAAACTGATACTATTAATGAAAAGGAATATTTTTATTTGGAGAGGAAAGGGCTCTGTTCACTTCTATTCTGCATCAGACCTTGCTGCTCCTATTCTACTGCTGTAATATGATTCATAAGAGTAGCTTTCAGCTCAAAATTCCAGCTTTTTTCCACTCCAAGGATCATCAGATTAGAGAGAGCTTCCCTTGAGTCAGAGGAAACCTGTAGCAGATCATATTTGACCTGGGGATAGGCAGTTATCCCTGACAAAAATAGCAATGTATATTTGGCCAAAAAGAGATGGGTAAAAATTTAGGCTAATTCACTGTGCCTTCAAAAAGCATTCATTTGGCAGGTACAGTGGTGCATGCCTATAATTCCAGTGACTTGGGATGCTGAGATAGTAGTATCACAATTTGAAGGCCAGTCTCAGTGACTTAGTGAGGCCCTGAGCAACCTGGTGAGACCCTGTCTCAAATTTTTAAAAAATAGAAAGGGGTTGGGGATATGGCTCAGTGGTTAAGTACCCTTGGGTTCAATCCCCAGTACCAAAAACAAAAGCAAAAGCACTCATCAGTAGCTTTTCACTGAAATATTGATTCCTTTACCTAAGTGGTCTGTGGTTGGGCGATGTTTGACTCCAAAATCCCTTAACTAGTGTAAGATTCAAAAGGAACACATTTGAGAAAATACTGCCTTTCATTAACTGTAAAATTAAATACACATCTGATCAGCTAGTTAAAAACTGCCATAAAAGATTATTTGAAACAATACTTAGATATCAAGGATATGCTTGGCTCCTAATAACTGAAACTTACTTTCCCTTTTCATGTGAATTCTTTCCTTTCACAGTCCCCTGATTGAGAAAGCCAGGATGATCATGTGTTCTCAGAACCTATCTTAACTCCCTCTTAAAAAGCAGTCAGATAGTTTATATAAGATTCACTTTTCCCTAAATGTTATTCTTCTGAACTTCTCTGGAAAGTATCGTCATGGTAACAGTAGCACCTCCTCCCTATCATTGCTGAGGCTTGCTTCTTCAGAACAAATTCTGGGTCTATGACTCCCAATGCAAACCATAGGGCTTTTGTAAGTGAAACAAAACAAAACAAATCAAAAAGCTCCTGGTTTTTAGGGACTGTCCATCCTAATGATAAGGGCGAACCTGAATCACAGCATACATCAGCTCTCAGCAGCTCAATTTCCTAAACACAGGTCAACTTTTTAACCCTTTTAAAATATGAATTATTTTGAAATAACTTGGCAATTTTAATAGTGATGTAAAATGGTTCTCAAATAAGCCACCTCATTTCCTTTTTTGTACAAGACAACACCATCTAGCTCTGCATTGTTACCTAGGACTGGTTTTCGACAAAGGTATATCAAAATCACCTGAGGTGGGGGCTAGGGTTGTGGCTCAATGGTAGAATGCCTGCCTAGCACATGCGAGAAGCTGAGTTAAATCCTCAGCACCACATAAAAATAAATAAATAAAATAAAGGTATTATGTCCAACTACAACTAAAAAAAAAATTTTAAAAAATCTCATCTGAGGATCTTTCTGAAAATACTCATCACCAGGCTCCATCTGTATGTAGTCTGACTTACTAGGTCTTACAGCAAGGAAGTCTATATTTTTTTAAAAGTTTTTAGTTCATTTTGTGAATAACTGGGCTAGCAGAAAACACTGGAAACAGAAATAAAACCAAGATTCTATTTGGATTATGTTTCTGGCTTACCCACGATCAAGAGCAAGTTAATAATCTTTATACCCAGTACTTCAATTACTTTACTTGTATATTTTATAACAATTATTGTAGTCACTATTTCATACACCCTCACTTGATCTCTTTTAAGAATATTAAGTACATAAACAGGTAGTGTATTATTTTGTATTTCTTTTATTGAAAATTTAACAGCGGCAGTGACAGCTACTCAAAATCATCACAGATTCCTATTTCCTTTTTCCATTCACCTGACTTCTTACCTCTTGCAAGTTATCAAATTCATTAGGCAAACAAACATTACTTAAAGAAGTATCTTGATATTTGCTTAGTATATTTCATTATTGATTCCCATTTTGCTTCTGAATTTACTTCATTGCTTTCTGATTCTTTAATATTTTTTTTATCATTAGCATTCTGCTAACTAAAAAGGAATATGTTATATTTGTTGTTTTCCTTTAATCCTGCCTCCCAATAATTTGTAACTAAATTTAGCCCTTTTGATACGGGATATGGTACTTAAAATTCTATAAAATAACTTCAAATGAGACACTGGTTCATCCACAGAAAATGCATCTTTCCTCAAAATAAGTATGATACTTAATTTCCATCGGCTATAGATTGCAGCATCTGTAATTTGATCATTATCCTTTTTGTTATGGAGATGTGTTTTGTTAAACTTTTAAATTATTTTCATCTGAAAACCTCATATTTTAACTTGGTTCCTCCTATATAGTACTTTAAGCATTATAGGGTGGGAGGCCATAAGACCCTAAAATAAAAGAGAAACATGACTAATTTTGCACTGTCCTTTATTTTTAAATGGCTATTTGCAATTTACCACCTTTAGGTGGATGCCAGCTCACATGATTGATTAACATTTTCTACTGGCTTATCCTCTGGGACAGAGTAATATATGGGGGTCAAATGTTGAGAAATGGACTCATTTATGATTTAAATGTAACTTTTACAGAGCTAAATATTAAAGCTTAGTTTGTCATTAATCACATGTATTTAAATATTTTTCACTTGTCATGTCCTCCAAACCATGACTGTTGATCACAGTCAGACCTCAAAGGCCCTATCAGCTCTCTGACAGCTGAATACCAGCATCCCTCTACAGCACCCAAAATCGATAGTCACCAAGACTCTCCTTGACTAACTAGTAGCAGGGGTTGATAAACTTTTTCTTTAAATAATCAGATATTTTAGAATTTACTATCTCTGGCACAACTACTCCATTCTACCATAACAATGCAAAAGCAGCTAAACACTGTAGACAATGCATAAAAGAATGGCTGTGGCTGCATTCAGATAAAATAATTATTTACAAAAAAAAGGTAGTGGGTTGGATTTAACCTATAGGCCATAGTTGGCCAACCTTTGGTCTAATGACTTCATAAGACAGTATAATCCTGAGTGTTACTTCTTCATTCCATTCAGTACTTTTAATAGAGGGATTACATTAAGCCAAGCACTGTACTGGCACAAAGAAAAACATGGCACAGTTTTGACTCTGAGCTCCCCTTTCGTGTCTCTGACTGGCTCTCCATTGCTCTTATAGTATAGTCCAATATTGCCCTTTTTTCCTCTCGTGCTTCACCTCTCACCATAGCTCTTCTCTACTGTGTCCTAATATCCTGAACTTTACATTAGCTCTATTAACATAGTCCAAAATTCAACCCTAGTTTCACAGCCCTTCAGATCTGAGTGATTCTGCTGAAAGCCTTGGGGAACACCTCAAACTTTATTCAAATTCCTAGGATGAGAATGGGGTGGCACTTTAGAATCTTGTCCCATCTGAATTTGGGTTCCTGGTTTCACTTACACTGATCCTATTCAGCAACCTATTGACCCAGGGGCAAAACTTAATTCAGTTTTCTCAAAAATCATTCCTCAGTTTTCTCCGAAGATCTCATCCAAACAGAGCATTTGTGAGCCTGGTAAACTTCACTGAACTGTTGAGGAACAAGTAGATCTTTTATAATATTTGTACTATTACTTTACAGTACTCTCCATTTGAAAAAAAAAAATAAGATGATCTCTAGACAAGACAATGAGGAATTCTTTTCCACAAATGGTGCTGGAACATTGGATTTCGACATGCAAAAGAATAAATTGATTCCTTATCTCATACCATATATAAAGATTAACTTGTCATCAATCAAAACTCTAAGAAGAAAACAGGGATAAATCATCTTGGATTTGACAATATATTCTTAGCTGTTACGCCCAAATCAAGCAAAAGGAAACAAATTGAACTGCATGATAATTAAAAACTTTTGTGTTTCCATGATACTATCAAGTAAGCAAAAAGAAATGTATATCACAGAACAGGAGAAAATATTTGCATGTCATATCTAACAGAGACCTGTATCTATGATATATAAAGAACTCTTACAACTCAAAAATAAAGCAAATAACTTGATTTAGAAATACAAAGGATCCGATAAACTTTTCTCCAAAGAAGATATACAAATGGCCAATAGTAACATGAAAAAATTTCAAATATCATTAGTCATTTGGAAAATGCAAATCAAAACCAAAATAACACTTCATACCTATTATTAAATGGGCTATAATAAAAATTATCTTTTTAAACACAATAACAACTGTTGGCAAGAATGTGGGGAAATTGACTCTCATATAATACTGGTGGAAATTTAAAAATGGAGAAACTGCAATAGAAAACAGTTTGACAGTTCCTTAACAAATTAAACTCAGAATTTCAATATAACTCAGACATTTAGCTTCTTCATATACTCCATGAAAGTTAAAAACAAGTATTCAAACAAAAACTTGGACATGCGTATTCACAGTGGCATTGTTCCCAACAGTCAATTATCCGACAACTGATGAACAGCTAAACAAAATGTGGTATATCCATATATTGGAATGTTATGTGGCTATTAAAAAGAACAAAGTACAGACACATGCTACAACATGGATGAACCTTGAAACCATTATATTAAGCACATCAGAGGCCAGGTGCAATGGCACACATCTGTAATCCCAGCAATTTGGGAGGCTGAGGCAGGAGGATTGCAAATTCAAAGCCAGCCTCAGCAACTTAGTGAGGCCCTCAGAAGAAGAAAGAGGGCTGTAGATGTGGCTCAGTGGTTAAGTACCCCTGAGTTCAATTCAAAGTACCAAAAAAAGAAAAAAAGCCCATCAGAAAAGACTACATATTATATAATTCAATATATATAATTCAATTTATATGAAATGTCCAAAATAGGCAAACCTATAGAGCAAGAAACTAGATTAGTAGTTGCTTAGGGCTGGAAGGATAAAAGAGGTATAGTGGATGAAGACTTAAGAGTACAGATTTTTTTTTTAGATGAGAATATTCTAAAATTGTACATATCTATCTGTAAATAAACCAAAAATCATTGAATTATATATCCAAAGTTGATTAATTCTATAGCATGTGAGTCATTTCTCAATATTATTTTAGATAAATATACTACCACTGTTTGGTGGCAGGGAGATAATCTGTAGGAATCAGGAATTTAACCTCAGTTCTTGGGTAGTCCCATGATGCCTAAATACCCAGAAAGTATCATAATATACCCAGTACTGAGAATTCTCTGTTCTATCTAAAAATACTTATGAAGAAATGGAAATTTTAATTGTTGCTGAACAATTTCAAGTCTCTTTTATTCTAACAGGTATCAGGAATTAAGGGAGTCACTCCACCAATGTAAGCTTCCATGGGGTGCTGAAAGGGAATATGGTGGGATTATACCGATTTCGCTGCCTGATGAACACAGGCCGAAATATGAGCCTCCTTGTGTCATGGGCAAAGGACATCAGCATTATGGATTTGGTGGAGAAACCTGGCCAAGGTAACTAAACTTGCTGCTATTCACATAAAGATTGTTATTATCCATTTTCTCTATTTCTACTCAATCTTTTGTAAACTTAAATATGCCTCCAAACTAATTTCTTTTACTATGAATAAAAAGACACAGATAGTAAAATTAATTATGATTTCTAATCATGAAATCATAAAAAGCCTGTTTATTAAATATTTTAATGTCCTTAGAGATGATAAAGTATTCTAAAAAATTCTGATTAACTTATTCCCTTACTTATCTTATTAAGTGAGAATATGAGAGAAAAATGGATATTAAACATGTTTTTTGTCTGAACAAAGAATTAGCCTAATTTGTGCAGATGTTCTTGGTTTTTGGAACTTTTGATTTGTAATTTTTTCACCAATCTTTGTAGTCATTAAAATTCTCTGTCAAATGTTTTCAAAAGTATTTATGTATTTCAATAATAACATAAATTTTTAAAGTCACTTTCAGCAACTCTATTCACAGAAGTTAAAACTGAAGACAGAGCAAAAAAATTTGAGCAGGAAATTAAATTTCAAATTGAATATTTATTAAAGATTACTTAATTTTAATTATGAAATTCAGAGAATAATCCATCAAACCATGGCACAAAGACTACTTTCTTCTTTTTTATCTAACAATACTGATTACCTGGTTTACTAACAGTCTAGCTAGTTTTTTTTGTTCTATAACAAGCAAAAGAAGTAAAACAGATAAGACAAGCCATAGCTAGAGAGAGAAACATTAAAAATAGGGACATATGTGGCTGATAATCTTATCAAGACCTCAGTAAATCAGTAAAAAGCTGACAGACAAAAAGGCCCAACAGAGAGAGAGAGAGAGAGAGAGATTGATCCTTGTCCTCACTGGGGACAAAAACCCAGACATGCCCTCAGTGATGCATCTCCTCCAGCCACACTTTACTTGCCTGTAATTACTACCCAGTTAATCTCTCTCAGGTGATTAACGTGTTGATTAGATTAAGACTCTCATAACCCAATAATTTCACCTCTAAATTTTCTTACATTGTCTCACACATGACCTTTTGGGGCACCTAATATCTACACCATAAAACTCATCATTTATTCATTTATCTATTCAGTAATTTAAGTATAGAAAGTATTGTTTTACAGACCTGGGGGTTATAACTCTTTATGGAATTTAAGCTATTGTCCTCCAAAATTTGAATATTAAACAATATGCAGTAGTATAAAGAATTAGAAATATTTGGATAGAATTTCAGTGTGTAAAAAGAAGGCCAAAGATTAAGTGAAAGGTTTGTGTTGGTCTTGCTGAATGCAGCCCCAAGACACTAAGAAAAGAAATACTTGTTTCACTTAGAATGCCTGTTACCCCTGACTCACAAATGTAGGTTAATGTCTTTCATTCTTTTCATGCCTCTTTATGTCAAATATTATCATTTTAGCATATTCCTCTCTTAAAAATATATTTAGGACAAATTTCTGTCTTCATATATAGGGCTAATTGCTTGGCAAACAACTACAGAATAGGATTTACCTTGTTTCCTAACAAGGAATAACTGCTATTACCATATTTTTCTTTCTCCCTTAAAAAAAGCCTTTTATACAAAAATAGCAATGTTTTACAGCTCTCTTTATGGGTGAAGCCTCAATTTTTAAACCTTTAAAAAAAAAAAAAAGGTTTTCTCTAGCAACCACACCCTACCACCTCCTTTGGTAGAAGGTTTTGTGAGAAACAGGATCACTCCTTTGCCTTACCAACTCTTTGTCCTGTGCCTTTGGAAATGAAAAGTACCTAGTCCTTTGGAAAAGGTCCAGGAGGTGAGACATCCTAAAGTATGTCATCTGGGGTTAAGAAATTTTTTTAAAAAAAGCATTACTTACTAAATAAAATGTAATTACCTGTGTTTCTATACACATGTTCCAATACAATGTCCATATAATGCCACATGGGGCATTGCTGCCCCTTCTGAGTCTTCCTGACATAAAAGTATCAAAGTAAAACTCCTTTAAAGGAACTTTAGTAATATTTACTTACCTATAATATGCAAGTTTCAGAAATTCCAAGTAAGATCAGTCATCACCCAATTCAGCATCAATTCACTGAAGGAACAAAATCACAAAGTAATGAAAATGTATAACTTAGTGTTCACTTTCATAAACATTGATTTAAGTTTGGTAAAGTAGTAAAATTGTTCATTTTAGAAAAGGAAATTCTTCCTTTAAGCTACTGGTTAAAAGCTCTTAAAATAGATCTGCAGTGCTCTGTGAACTAAAGGATACTCTGAATTTCCTGACAACTTTGATTTTTCTAGTTTAATAATAATACTGAAAGATATTATGAATGATTTCATAAAGCAAAATTTCTCCTTAATAAAATTTGTACTTGTTTACTCTTTTATCAGGAGCCAGTCACCAATGAAAGTCAAACAACCTCTGCCATTCAATTTAATAAGTGGCATATATTGCAAAGTGTTTAGCACCTTTGGCTCTTGACCTGGAAATACTAGTTGCATCCTAAATTCATTGTGACAACCAAAATAAACCACCCCATATATTCCCATACTCTCCTGGAAATGTTGGAGCCCAAAGGGAAACAGTATGATTGTTTGAGACTCATTATACCTAACCCAACTCCTATATTCCAAATGCATATTAAGACAAGGTGAGCCTAAAAACCCCTGCAATTCTCTAGTTTGAAGAGATTAAAAGAGTAGGTTATCCTGTTAGTAAGGGAAAAAATCTTGAGAGAGACAAAGAGGCTCATGGTGAATGGGAAAATCATTATTCTACATTATTATTCTATTGCAAATCAAAAATTTCTGCAATATCTGAATCGATTCAGTGCTCACCAGCATTCCTTTCTTTTTTTCATCTTGAAAGGATAGTCATAGGTACTGGCACTGAGGTACATGAAAGGTGCAGTACCTTCCCTACATTTTGCAGTTTCCCACATTTGGAACATCCCCTTGCCCAAGTAAGATCCAGAAATCCACTTCCCAGCCTCCCTAGCCTCCAGGGTGCAGATGTATACACAAAAATTCTACTGATCACCCACATCTGCAGTGGATACTGATTTGCAGGTGACCAGTACCGACTCACTATAAAAATACAGAGTGAGCATTCAAAAGATATGGGGCAACCACAATGACAGGTGAGTACTACAATATGTCTGAAAATATTACAGGTGAGGCCAGCCTCTTCCCTCCCTCCTAGAGCGAACCACAGTTACCAATTTGGTGTGTCTCCTTCCATACCTTCTGTTACCTGTTTACATAGTTATGCATGTGCCCACTGAAATTTTATGGTGTTATTTTGTTTATATGTGAAATCATTTGATATGTAGTGTTAAGCAAGTTGATGTTTTTTTTCTTTACAATCTAGAGAGAGTCCTTTGTCAATAAACACAGATTTACTTTATTATTTTTAATTTTCTCATAATGTTCCACAATGTTTCACAGGTTATTTGACCACTCACATAGTTCTTTGATCCTTGCACAAATGTTTCCGTAGGGCATATCTTCAGTGAAAGTTCTGGGTCATAATATAAAATATTCAAAATATGAATTTTTTAATTTAGTAGATGTTCTAGATATCAATCCCTTCTATGTTATTTTTATTTCTTCCAATTTTTGTTTTATTTAAGCTCTTTGTAGTGTCCATTGTCTTATCAATGTGCTTTTGGCTTTTGAAATAAACATCTTATTTAAAAGGCCCTCTTTACCAGCTTAAAAAAAAAAAACATATTCCTATACATTTTCTTTCTTTCTTTTTTAAAATTTTTAATTGTAGTTGGACACAATGCCTTCATATTATTTGTTTACTTTTATGTGGTGCTGAGGATCGAACCCAGTGCCTCACACATGCTAGATAAGCATTCTGCCACTGAGTTACAGCCCCAGCCCTTTCTTTTTTAATATTTGTTTAGATTTATCCTCAATTCTTTAGATTTTTAATCTATCTGAAATTATCTTTTTGAATAATGTAGAGATGTATTATTTTCCAAATGGGTAGTGAATTTTTCCTGTACTGTTTATTGAAAAATATATACTTTTCAAATAATTTAAAATGCCATCTTTTCATATATTGTTTCTATATATTCATGATTGTATTAATCTACTTATCTTTTATAGTCTCCCCATTATACTGTGTTAATTTAAAAAGAGATTCAATTTAATATTTTCTTTCTTTTCAGAAAACTTCCTATTGAACAATACTATTATTTGACACGGAACCAAAAAAGTGACGTCTATGGAAATGATTCCTTGTAAGTTAGAGGTCCCCCTTCCCCTTACATGGGATCAAATAGTAATTTAAGTGGAAATTAGTTATATGAGAAACAAAAAAGCCCCCACATGGGAACTTTTAGAGAATTCTTCCTTTTTATTAAAATAGTGATCATTAACATTAGAAATTTTTAAAAAGCAGCAGCAGATAAACCAAAAGAAAGGGTTTGTAGCATTTAAACCAGTAAACAAAGAGTAAGAAATAAATGATAGCAATGTTCAAAGAGATTCCTACACGTCATCTTGATTCATGTTCTTACCTTGACCTATTTATTCAATATAATAAAAATCTGTTATATTTCTATTTCATTAAAAATTTTACAGAAAATGCCACAATGGCCCTCAACAAATTTTGAACTGAAACTTCATAATAAGAGAGGATTGTTATGGTTATCTATAAGTAACTCTTTTAAAAATTACTAAGTATCTCTTTTGGATAAGAAATACTAATTTAGCCTGCGCTTAAAGGTATTATGCTCTAGTATATTAAATTATTTTTACTCTTTTAAAAAAATGGTTTTTCATATATATTACTAAGTCATGCATTTTTATTTTTTGTAAAATAAGAATAAAATATTGACACTACTGAAATGACAATGAAAATATTTTTTTATCTTTATTAAGATTTGTTGGTTGTTTTTAAATTAAGGTGATACAGTATAAAATTTAGCCACTAGAGGGAGCCAAAAAGATAAAATTAGCATTTGCTTATCTCTTTGGGTTTAGTTAACTTTGCAAAGGAGATATGGAGTATGGCAATAGGATTGAATAGCTGGTTGGATCAAGCAAGTGGTGTCTCTGAGCATTTCATTTTACTTTAATTTTATCTTTAAATTTTGAATTTTTAAAAAAAGATTTTTTAAAAAAAATTCTTATTTTTTTTTCATTTTGAATCAAATCAATTTTAATCATATATTTATCAACATCACAGCAAAATTTGTCACATGAGAGCAATTTTAGATGCCAAGTTAATATTTAATATATAGTAGTAAATTTTAACTCTATATACCTTGGATTCATCGTTCATCCCCGTCTCCAACCCAACAATATAACTGGAAGAGAGGAAATCACTTTTCTTTTTAGTTCCACACCCACATACTTAAGAGTCCAAATAAAGACATAAACATTTAGGATTCATGAGAATTGTGTATTTATAACATATGCTAGAGTAACAAAGTTCTATGACTTATATGTCACTTAGTAGTGAATATGTAGAAACATCTAAAAATTGCTCAAGTGTATTCAGTTTTATCAACTTTTACTATCAAATTTATGGCATTCTGTTCATTTTTCATGTCTGAAATCTTTCAGAGTCTTATTTGCATAGGATAAAACTAATAGCTGAAATCATATAAGTGGGTAACTATCCCTCTCTAGTAAACTTTTCCCCAAGGCTATAGTATTATTTCTTGGAAAGCAGTGTTTCAAATAATTAAATGCACAACCTTGTAATGAACTAATTTGGAAAGGCAAACCTCCAGGAACTTTGTCAGTTTTGTTCTATCCTTTCATAGCAACATTTACTATCATGAGAGATCAGCAACTCTGGGCAAAGGGACAAAGTATATACCTATTATCTACTTATCTTCCCAACAAGGCCACATTTGTGTCACTTCAGGTCATGTAATTGCACCACATATGTGATGTCAGGCTTCTTCAGGGCTCTTTGGCTACTACATGATTATGAGAGTGAAGGTCAGTAGGAACCAGAGCTCTCTTATCATTAGAAGCTATCCATCAGCCCCTGTATTCCTGTGAATAAGAAATGCAAAAGGGGTAGGGGTAAGCAAGACTGAAGACTTACTTCATATATTGCCATATGAAGTAAGAATATGTGGAATGGAAAAATTTATCAGTAGATAACTGAGATATGAAAATATATCGCTCTATCCTGTCAATATGCACAGTTCCAGAAAGTTAATAAAAATATTATCGTGGTGACAATGTAGTTTGAAAATGGGGTATATCCTTAGTCTTCAGCAATTTTCAAATAATAATAATACAAGCCTTTAAAGGCCCTTAATTTAAATTATGAATTATTTTCTGTTTTTATTCTAGGTTGCCCAAACCATCTAATTCAACAATAAGGTAAGTATAAAACATATTTTCCTTCCTTGTTATAATCAGAAAAAAACTATTGGCATTTCATACCACTTAGACAGGTGAGAGAAGTGAGACTTTTGATGAAAACTATTTTTTAACAAATGGAAGGAAAGGCTGGTTCAAGTCCAAGGTAACATTATTTTGATTTCTTCCCAATTATATTCCCTACTCCCCCTTGCCCTTGCTGTTTGGTGGTACTGAGGATTGAAGTCATGTACTAGGCAAGGACTCTACACTGAGCTCCTTCTCCAACCCACTGCCAATCTCGTTTTTTAAATAAACTTTTTATTTTATTTTAGTATAGTTTTAGAATATAGAATTATAAGGATGTTAGTATAGGGAGTTCTTCCCACATATCCTACCCCCGGTTTCCCCTACTATTGCCATATTAATGTGGCACATTTGTCACAATAATGAACCAGTATCAATGCATTAGTTTAACTGAAGTGTGTACTTTATTCGGATTTCCTCAGTTTTTACCTACTGTCCTTTTTCTGTTTCAGGATCCTATTTTAGGATTCCACATTACATTTCATCTTCATGTCTCCTTAGGTGTCTTTTTTGTAGTAACACTTTCCTAGATTTTCCTTGACCTTGACTATTTTGAGAATTATAGGTCAGATATTTTGTAGAATGCTCCAAAATGGACTTTTAACTCATGTTTTTCTATGATTAGACTGGAGCAATGTGTTTTGGGGAGGAGGACCATGGAGGTAAAGCACCATTTTCATCACTTTCTATGAAGGGTGCATACTGTATACCTGATATATCTCCGCTGATGTTGACCTTGATCACCTGGCTGAGGGAGTGTTTTTTGAGGCTTCCTTACTGTACAGTTAGTCTTTTTTTTCCCTCCTTTCCACACTGTTCCCTTAAAAAGAAACTCACTGTGCACAGAAGACATCTGGAATCAGGCTCTACCTTCCAAGAACAAAGTACCTACTTAAATTTTTGGTGTTCTTCTGCATGGTTATTCTTTTCCATTTATTTACTGAACCACTTATTTTCAGTATGGACTTGGGGATATTTTATTTTTTGGTACTTAGCAAGTAATCCAGTACCCCCTTATTTTATTATTCAAATTGGGCATAAGAAGCTCTTCTAATTCTCTTCTGTATTCTTTTGACATTTCCGTCATCCTTGTGGAGGTTTGGAGGATGGTTTTTCTTTCTTTTTAGCATTTCCTTACTTTCTGGCACTATAAGATACTTCTGGATCATCTTGTATATTTCCTGCTCCACTCCTGGATGAGCCAAAACTCCAAGGAACCCTTGTTCTTTTTATTGGCAACTGGTACAAGAAACCATTTGCAGCCTTTCTTTTTTTTTTTTTTTTTTCCACATTTTTTATTCATTCATCATATTTGTACATAATGATGGGATTTGTTGTTACATATTCATACATGCATACAATATAATTTAACCAACATCGGTCCCCAACACTTTACCCATCCTTCCTCACCTCTACCCTGCCCCATCCCTTTCCTCTACTGATCTCCCTTTGATTTTCATGAGATTCCCCCCACCTTTCTTTTCGTTTTTTTCTCTCTAGCTTCCACATATGAGAGAAAACATACAACCCTTGACTTCTGGGCTTGATTTATTTTGCTTAACATAATCATCTCTAGTTCTATTTATTTTCCTGCAAATGACATAATATCATTTTTCTGTATGGCTGAATAAAACTCCATTGTGTGCAGGTACCACATTTTCTTTATCCATTCATCAACTAGCTTCCATAGTTTGAGTATTGTGAATTATGCTGGAATAAATATGAGTATGCATTATCACACAGTAGGATAACTTTAATTCTTTAGGGTAAATAGTGAGGACTGGTATAGCTGGGTCATATGGTGGTTCCATGCCCAGTCTTTTGAGGAACCTCCATATTGATTTCCATAGTGGTTGTACTAATTTACAATTCCACCAACAGTGTAAAAGTGTTTCTTTTCCTCTCCAGCATTTATTATTATTTGTATTCTTCATGACTGCCATATTAACTAGTGTGAGATGAAATCTCAGAAGTTTTGATTTGTATTTCCCTAATTTCTAATGATGCTGAACATTTTTTCATATGTTTATTGGCCATTTGTCTTTCTTCTTTTGAGATGTGTCTGTTCAATTCATTTGCCCATTTATTTATTGGGTTATTTCATTTTTGTGTAAAGTTTTTTGAGTACTTTATCTAGTACTATATATAGTCTATATAGACTAAGTATATATATAGTACTACATATATATGGTCTATATATAAAGTACTCAAAAAAAAAAAAAAACTTTACACAATACTAATCCTCTGTCAGAAGAGTAGCTAGCAAAGATTTTTCTCCCATTCTGTATATCCTCTGTTCATATTCCTAATTGTCTCCTTTGCTGTACCAGGAGCGTTTTTAAATCAGTGCCATTCAGTTTATTAACTCTTGGCATTATTTCCTGAGCTTTAGAGGTCCTGTTGAGGAAGTTGTTGCCTGTGCCTATATGCTAAGTTTTCTTCTAAGAGTTACATATTTCCTGGTCTAATTCCTAGGTCTTTGATCCATTTTGAGTTGATTTTTGTACAGAGTGAGAGATAAGGTTCTAGTTTTATTCTTCTGCATACGGATAACCAGTTGTCTCAGCACCATTTGTTAAAAAGGCTGTCTTTTCTCCAGTATGTTTTGGGCACTTTTGTCAAGCAAGAATCAAATAACTACAGATGTGCGTCAGTTTGTCTCTGTGTCGTCTATTCTGTACCTTTGGTCTATATGTCTATTTTTATGATACCATACATTTTCATTACAATAGCTCTTAGTATAATTTGAGGTCTGGTATTGTGATGCCTCCTGCTTCATTTTTCTTGCTAAGCACTGCTTTGGCTATTCTAGGTCTGTTATTTTTCCAAATGAATTTCATAACTGCTTTTCTAGTTCTGTGAAGAATGTCATTGGTATTTTGATGGGAATTCCATTGAATCTGTACATTGCCTTTGACAGTAGTATGGCCATCTTAATAATATTAATTCTGCCTATCTATGAATATGGGAGTTCTCTCCATTTTCTGAGGTCTTTAGTTTCTTTCTTCGATGTTCTGTAGTTTTCATTGTAGAGGTCTTTCACCTCCTTGGTTAGATTTGTTCCTAGATACTTTACTTTTTAAGCTATTGTGAATGGAATTATTTTCCTGATTTCTTTCTCAGCAAATTCATTATTCATTGTTAATATATAGGAAAGCTACTGATTTTTGTATGTTGATTTTTGTAATCTGCTCCTTTGCCAAATTTGTTTAATTATCTTTAGGAGGCTTTTGATGAAGTTTTATTGATCTTCTAGGTATAGAATCCAGAAATGGTGATAATGTGACTTCTTCCTTTCCCATTTTTATCCCTTTTATTTCCTTTCCTTGCCTAATTGTTCTGGCTAGGATTTCTAGAACTATATTAAATAGGAGTGGTGAGAGCGGACAATCTTGTCTTATTCCAGATTTTAAATGAAATGCTTTCAGTTTTTCCCCATTTACTAAGATGTTGGCTTTGGGTTTTTCATAAATAGTTTTATACAATGTTGAGGTAGGTTTCTTCTATGCTTTTATCATGAATGAGTGCTGAGTTTTGTCGAAGGCCTTCTCTGCAGCTATTGAGATGACCAAGTGATTTCTGTCTTAATTCTATTTATGTGTGAATTACATTTATTGATTTGCATGTGTTAAGCCATCCTTTCATCTCTGTAATAAAACCAAATTGGCTGTGTGATGTACAGTCATCTTAGTAAGTTGTTGAACATGATTACTAAAGTATTTTTGCTTCTATGTTCATCAGGGATATTGGTCTGTAGTTTACTTTCCTTGATGTGTCCTTATCTGGTTTTGGTATGAGTATGATACAAAAGCCCTTACCAATCTTAACTGAAAATATTAAACTGATATTGTAAAATTGTGTTTGAGCAAAGAACTACTGAAAAAGCTATTAAAATCAAGGTCTAGCTGGGCACAGTGACACATGCCTGTAATCCCAGCAGCTTGGGAAGCTGAGGCATGAAGATCGTGAGTTCAAAACCAGCTTCAGCAACTTAGCAAGGCCCTTAGCAACTCATAAGACCTTGCCTCTAAATAAAACTAAATATAAAAAAGAACTAGGAATTTAGCTCAGTGTTGAAGCATCCCTGGGTTAAATCCCCAGTACTAAGCAAAAAAAAAAAAAAAAAAAAAAGAATAGAAATCAAGATTTAGGTTTTGAGGGGCTTTGTTTTGTTTTTGTTTTTTAAACAACTATGTGAAGAAACCTTGTTTTGGACTTTACTAGTTTTGTTCATAAGAAGTATGAAAAGAAAAGTCCTTTTAGCTGGGCTATAATTATTGGATTCAAGATTTTATTTGTAGCTTGATAAGCTTCAAAGTGGGAGGCTAGAAGTCCAAGAGTAAGATGTTGGGGCAGGATTGGTTCCTTCTTGGAGCTCTGAAAAAGAACCTGCTCCCTGCTTGGCACCTGGCTTCTGGTGGTTTGCTGGAGTCCTTGGTGTTCCTTGGCTTACAGATGTGTCACCCTAATCTCTCCCTTCATCTTCACATAGCATTCTTGTGTGCTCATCTGAGTCCAAGTTTCCCTTTTCATAAGGACACTAGGCTCACTGGATTAAGAACCCATTCTTCAGTATGATCCCCCTCTTAACTCATTATGTGAACAACAACCCTATTTCCAAATTAGAACCTACTATAATGCCTTTGGGATTAGCACTTCAACATATGGATTTCGAGGAGAGATGCAATTCAACCCATAACATTGGTCTTTCTACAAAATTTTTCTACAAAATAACATTTTTCTATTCTGTAACCTTCCTGATCTCAATTTTCTTCTGGTTTAGACAGTGGTTTTTGTTGTTGTTGTTTTTATTTTCCCTTAACCTCTGTCAGTACTCCAAATAATAGGAAAATTATCACTGTGGCCTTTTTCTTTTTTTCCTTCAGTGATCTATTTTTGGCTTTTTTATTTCAAAACAGTTTGTGTACATAAACGGGCAATATATTTTGTTGATCCATTACTTAAAGAAACAGATCCCTGGGTTGAAAGTTCAATCCAAGATGAGTGTATTACTGAACTAAATATCCAAAATTATTTCATAAAATAAAGTACATGGATCTTTTAAAACAGGAAACAGAAATTAAAAGCAACTAGAAATTCTTCCTACATCATCTGAAAACTAAAAATATCCATATATTGCTTATATTATTACCCAGTCATGGAGATTATTCATGATAAAGAATTAAGTATGGTTTATTTTTAAAAATGAAATTTAGTTTTGTCTAGAAAAATTAAGAAAATTTCATAGGTCTTGGAAGATTGTCTACAGACTGCCAACTCCATGATTATAGGAACTTTATCTGGGTTACTGTCATCCTCAAGGATTAGAACACTATAAGCCATAACAAAGAGTCCCAATAAATATTTGATGATTAATTTTTTCATCGCACTTCTTTTTCTTCTGTTTTTTTTTATTTGCTCAATAAATCTTAGCGAAATCTGCTTACCATATCCAATTGATCACCCTTACCATACACACATCTCTCGTGGAGCCATGTTCCCGACCTTTACGTCACCTAAGGAGCTCTACAATGGTATTAAAGCCTGCACTCACCAGCCATTTGCTCCCACGGTGCCAACCAAGACCTATGATTCAACGATTTTGAAGACAAGAGGTAAAATGTGACTTAAAATTAAAACTATTGATTCTGATTATTATTGGAATTTATTCAATAATAAAATTAAAGAAAGCAAGACGCATGAAGGACTCAAAACACAGACATGTGACCCCTCAGTAGATTAGAAAAGTTTTACCCAACTGTGGATGTACCACACAATCATCAGGGACTCACTGCAGACCATTAAACCAGACTCTACAGGTGCTTCTGATTCTTTTACTTCACACATTCCTCCCATTGTAGAATCAGAAACCAGAAATATAGAATTGGTTGTCTTCATTCTATATATGTTTTGTTTTCATTTCCTTCCTGTTCTTGTGGTTTAGCTTTAAAAAATTCCATCCTAGCCAGGCACAGTGGCGCACACTTGTAATCAAGCAGCTCCAGAGGCTGAGGCAGGAGGATTGAGAGTTCAAAACCAGCCTCAGTAAAAGCGAGACACTAAGCAACTCAGTGAGACCCTGTCTCTAAATGCAGTACAATATAGGGCTGAGGATGTAGCTCAGTGGTTGAGTGCCCCTGAGTTCAATCCCCAGTAGCAAAGAAAAAAAAAAAATTCTGTCCTAGCTTAGATGATGAGCATAAGGGGCAAGGCAGAAGCAGTGATTAAATTGAAAGCTTAACATTTGAACTAAGACTCAGACACTAATTTAGTCACATTCTCTTGACACCCTGGAGCATCTTTATGGATGTATTTTATTAGAGAGGACAGTAATCCTCTGCACCCATCCTAGAGTCTCACCCACCCTAGACTCCTCAGTCTTTGCTGAGGAGATATACACATGCATGAAAGCAGATGACACCTCTGAATGTCTGAAAGATGCTAAAGAGAGGATAATTGAAGGTAACAGAAAAGGCATGTAGTAGGAAAAAATAAATACTTGTTGAGTTAATAATTTATGCTGTGGAGTAGATAAAACTCAAGAATTGTCCTATAACATTAATTGTCTTCTGTACATGAATATATTTGTACCAAAGTGCAAGGATCATCAATAACAACCTCAGCACCTTGTTAGCAGACAGGTATGTTTTGGGTTTTGAAAAAGTGTGTAGCAGAAGACTTAAGAGCAGACTTTTCTTTTCCCTCCATACTAAGGGTTGAACCCAGAACCTTACACATGCTAGGCAAGTACTCTACCACTGAACTACACTCCCAGTCCAGAGGCAAGGACTCTGGAGTCAGAGTATAGGCATAAAATTCTGCCCTTACCATTTACTGTGGACTATAGTGGTGTTTCTTAACTTCCGTCTTCACTTCTCAATCTCTAAAATGGGAGTATTAGTGCCAACTTCATAGATAACAAAGATAAGTGTTAATAGTTTGTTTGCTTTCATATAGTGACTCCAGTGTGTGTTCACCATGATGAAATTTTACATTACCTCTCAGACCAGTCAGTATTGATAAGAGGCAGTGCAAACTGATTCTTCAAGAACATTTGTCTGGTGCTGAGGCTATGCTTAGTTATATTGGGAGAGTGAGATGAGTGAGTGCTGTGCAAAGAAATCCAAGATATGTATCTAAACAACTGAAAGTTTATAATTGTGTTAGGGAAACTATCAAAATTAATTCATTATTTTCAGTCCTGAATTAGATAATTTCTGAAATTATATTTAGTACATAGTTAGCTAGAAGTCACAGAAATATGTGTTGAACTCATAAAAACACCTTTTAGGGACTAAAGAAACAAGGTGCCTTCTTCATTTTCTGCTCTTCCAAGCTTCTACCTCTTTCTGACCAGTCACTCACTCTTAGGGACTTTAAGATGAATCTGTTAATAAGTATAAAAAGATCTTTCCATGAACTAGTACTCTATTGGGTTTCTAATCTTCCACTTATTTTAACCTTTTATTAGAAATAAATAGTATGTAGGGTAAGAGTACATGCTCTAGAATCAGATTGCCTGAGTTTGAATTCCATCTACTAGTGCTATGAACTTGCATACATTTCTTATTCTCTCTGTGCCTCAGTTTCTTTATTCACTGACATGGGAATAATAGTATCTTTCTCATAATAATTTTATGAGAAATGCATGTGATGGTATATTAAAAACAGTACAGTGGCTGGTGCTTTGGAAGTGTTCAATAAATGCCAGCCTTTGTTCTTGTTATATATTAGAATGGAGCTGGGAATGGTGGTGCATGTCTATAACTCCAGCTATTCAGGAAGATGAGGCAAGAGGATCACAAGGTCATGGCCAGCCTGGGCAAATTAGACCCTGTCTCAAAATAATATGGGCTGGGGATGTAGCTCAGTGATAGACTGCTTGCCTAGCATGTACAAGGCCCTGGGCTCAATCCCCAGTACCATAAGGAAAAAATAATAATAATGGGTATTCAGAATATTCTTTAGCTTGAAATTTAAAATGAGAACAGAGGCAGCCATGCTGTGTTTGGTAATGCTCATTAAATACAAAACAAGACCTAAGAAGCTGTATTCTTTAAAATGTTCTCTTTTACTACCTTTTTGGTAAGCAAGTACAATTCCATTAAAAAAAATAATAAAAACCTTTATATATTTGGGTAAAGAAGAGCCAAAACAGATAGTAAAGAAATGTATCTGTTGAGCCTCCAGACACCAGAAAGAAGATCCAGGAAGATTTATTATGTACCTAAGGATTTTGCTTGTTAAGTATAAGTGCCCTCTATCACTGCTGAGAACACTAAGATTAGAGACTCATTCTCACTCTGGTCCACATGCTGCCCATATAAAGGCTCAAGAATTAAAGGGTAGGCTGCATCTTGAAAGTTATAAGAAGGGGCTAAGAGTGTAGCCCTTAGTATATGCAAGGCCTTGAGTTCAATCCCCAGCACCAATATTTTTTAAAGTTATACTGTATAGCTATAATATACACCAGAATTCATCTCTAATCTATATTGTTTCTATCTATTTCCTCCATAAACCCATTTGTTAAAAGGCTGTTCTTAATTATTCAGGATAACAGTGCTTTTCTTGAAAATTTCAGGTAATCCTTACAGATATGAACTGCTTGATTTTCCCACAGATTCAAAGAAGAAATCATTGACGTGGCCAGGTCAGGATGTGTATTATGATGTAAGTTATCTTTCAAAATGTGTGTTTTAAGAGAAAGTACAATATATTTTTACCCAATAGTTTCTAAAACTCAAAAAGACAGATTGTTTTATTTTCTATTTAGGTAAAACTTTTGAGATTTTTGACTATGGTTCACATTTTTCAATTTTATTAGCTGATTTCACATACTTTGGTTAGTTAATGGAACATTTCCACAGTTATAAAACAAAAAAGTTCCCCTCAGAAAGATGGTAGGGAAGAACTGTTTCACAGCCTTAATCCTGTTTTTAAATTCTTATAGTTCATAATGTATCAAGTTATTACAAATATGCATAGAGTAAATGAGAGACTTTCAGAAAGATTTATGAGCTGTCGTTGTCCCCATCATTATTAGTGCATTTATATTAAGTCTAAAACAAAATAAAACTAAAACAAGAGCTACCATTTATTGAGAAATTGCTATACATTAAGTAATTTAGACGTACTTTAATTCTTATAAAAATCTCATAAGATTAATATTATCAAGTCCATTTTATAGATAAGGAAACTGAGGCTCAGAGAGTTTGAGATGAGGTCATGATCACAGAAGTCAGGTTTGTAAGACTCTAATCTATGCTGTTAACTTCTGTTCCTTAACTGGCTTCACCCACATCCATTAGATAATTCCTCTGAGAAAGTAACCCATAGCAAGAATGCTTGTTCAAAGACTTGTAACTCATATTTGTGAGCTAATAGTCTTCTCTCTCCTCCTATTTCATCCTATGCCCCAAGGGAAGAGAAAAGACACAAATAACCTGATAAACAGGTCCTAACACGTGTCACCTAGCTGCAAAAGAGAAAACTCTAGAAACTGTACTTTAGTATTTTTTCCATCCAAGCCAATAAAAAAATATGTATAATGTATTAGTAGAGTGTGAATTTTAAAGAGGCTCAGCTCATGGCTCTACCTTATCAGCTCTGTGACCTGGGTAATATATTTAATCCTTTAGTACCTCAATTTCCTAACAGATAAAATAGGAATGATAATAAAACTGTTGTCCTGAGAATGAAATTCATATAAAAGTACCTAGCACCATATTAATACTAGCTCATAATAAATTTTAACTGCTATCAGCATTATTATTCCAATGATTATAAAACTTGGTTGACCTAGCAACATTAAGAAACAGATAACTTTGGAAAGAAGAATGTTCTAAATAATAAGATGGCTTATAATAAATAAGATGGCTTAACCTTTTAAAATTTTAAAATTTAAGTACTAATTTAAGGGCTTAATTTTTATTTAATGCTTTTATTAGTGCATTATGATTATATGTAATAGTAATAGTTACATTATGATTATATGTAACCCTACTATTACATATAATCATAATGCACTAATGAGTTACTATCCTCATTTCTGGGGTATTTGTCTTTCCAGAGAGTCCCCATAATCCAAACTCATTCTCAGCTGGACATAATGAATTTGGTGAGCATGCATGCACCTCCTTTGGAAAGTCTCATCTTATCAAATCATGAGATGTCCACAAGTGTACCTCTCCATTCCCCCCCACCACTCTAGGCTCTACATCTCACCTGCTCAGCCCCAGCAACATCCATGGTATCCAGAATGAAAAAAAACATGGCACCCTCACTGTGTCCCCATCAACCATGCTCCCCATCTTATATCTTGCACCTCCATATTTCCACCATTCCATCTCAGGCAGTACTCTTCCCTAACTGCATGGTTTTCTGTTATTTTAATGGTGATATGTGGAGTTTTGGAGATGACACAAAGACATTGGAACCTTGTACATAGTTTTGCATCTAATACTTAATAAACATTTAATGAATAACTAAGTTAAAAGCTACATATATTTCACAGGCTATGCTAGAAATGTAACCACAGTTTGTATAGTTATATTCCTCTAATTCATATTCAAATTCATATCCTCTAATTCCATATTCAAAACAATTAACTCCTTTTTATAGACTGGAAAGCCTAGAAACTCAAATGTCAGGAATTGGAATTCCTTCCTTGTATTTACCTCCATATCAGAAAAAAAACTCTGCCCTCAGATTGGTGTACTTAACCAATGAATACCTATTGTGTGAATGACTGCTACCAGCTCCTCTCTCATTACCCTCTCTGAATAAAATCACCTTCACATTTTAAATATTGACCAGCTCCTCACCCTCATGTGTTTCCTGGCTCTTAAACTATGACCAAAACACTATAGGCTGAAGTTCACATTTCCCATTTTCTTTTTTGAGCCCTAGACTACATGTCAATAGATCACTGCTATTATTTCAACCAGTATAAGACATAAGATTAATCTAGCCCCTGAGAACAATTTTGGAAAAATTTCCTTCTTATTTGCAAGTAAGCTAGCACTGCAAATAATGAAAAAGATAAAGAGAACAAAGAAGGCATTCTTTAACCCTGAAAAAACAAAGTCACATTTTGGTTAAAGGTTTAATAGAGGTAGGCATTTCATAATTCTTGAGGCAACTTTCCCGTGAGTATTCTACTATGTAAAATGGGGATCACTTCAACCTTACAGAGTTGTAGCAGCAGCAACACGTTTAGGATCTAGAAAGTTAGAGAGCTCCACACCTCAGGGGGCCTGACTCTGGCCCTTCTCTAGCTGTGCATTTCCCTAGGAAACAGGGAGTCTATATGGGGCCAAGAGGATATATGTCCAGGGGAGCCCATGCTTCTCTGACCCACTCCAGAACATGTTCTTGAACCACAAAATTCCCTGACCAAATGGCTTTGAACCCAGTCCCAGGTCCTCCTGAGGACTCTTCCTCCCAAGGAGGAAGGACTAATCCTCCCAAGGGTTAACAGTGTTCCTGAGCTAGTATATTCATCAAAACCAAAGGGGTAACCAGAGATGGCTGTTGACTGGAAGTAGGAATGATTGGAGGATGGAGCCAGTAGAAAAGAGCAGTGAGGGATGCTGAGGCCAGAGGCAGTAGTTGGCTCTTCCTGAGTCGCCATTTAGTGGTCTAAATTAGAACCTGGATTTCCAGGTTGTTATAAAGGTATTCTGTCTGAGCAAAAGAATGAAACATATTTTATTATTGGCTTACTTGCTGACTTAAACTATTTAGACAAATGGAATATGGGCTTCCAATTGTACTTCAGCTCCAGGTTCTGCAAATGTTAAAGGAAGGCTTGGCTGTAGGACAATGAGTGGCATAATGTTCAAGAAATGCTGGTTCCACACTGTCACCGCCATCTATACCTCTGCTCCTACTGTTTCAATTCTAAATTGTCATTCAACGTTCAGTTTTTGTGGTATGACAGAAGGGCTCCTCCTTCCCATTCCACTCCCGACCCTGCTTCTTGATTCAGCTGGAATCGATCTCTCCCTTCTCTGAACTTCAAAATCATTTTGTTTTAATTTCTTTTATAGCAAAGAGCTACTTACACTCATTTGTTTTCATACCTTATATCCTTTACTAGCCAATATACTCATGGATGGCTGGATTTATTTCTGACCTGTCCTTATTTCCTGCCACTATTGTGTACACATAGGTGCTCAATAAATATTAATTAACAAAGTGTCATCAATCTAAGAAAAGATGAATTTCTAAGTAACCAGAAAGACTGCAATGAAACTCATTCAATCATGTTTACATGTATACCTCTTTTAAAAAATACAAAAACTCATGTGTCTGAAGAATGAAAATTGTATTTGCATTTGAGTGACGTAACCTTCTCAAAAAGTCATAAAAGTTATCTTATGGTTCATGTCAGGCAGGGAAAGAAAAATAGAAGCACACAATTTTGGCTAGTCTCAGCCAAAAGAGTACCTTAGAACCTTTTGTATCTCTAACAGATTTCATTGGCTGTAGAATATCCAGGAGCATTTCTCTAATATAAGTTCTCAGAAGCTTTTAGAAAAGACCTTATCATTTTGTTACTTAAAAAAAAACCTCTCAATTATGGTGAATATAAGGAAAAAGCCACCATACCTAGCTTGAGAATTAATAATTAATGAATTTTTTAAAAGCATCTAGCTTCATCCTAGAATTTCCTTTGTCCCTTTCCTGCAGAAATAGTGAATCCATCCTTACTCTACTAGATGACAATAACAGCAATAATCTTTATGTTCATATTCTAGATTCCTAAATGTGCAGAGAAAAATAAGCCAACATTCTACCCAAAACCACCTAAAACTTTCGCTCCCAACACTTCTTTAAATACATGGGATGTTCTTAAGTCCATAAAAGAAGCCAACATACGAAGAAATCTTGAAAGGTCCCATTGGATCTCTTCATACAATCATGATTTTACAGGTATGAGTCACATTAATACAAGTAAAAAGTGAGAACAAAATTGGGATATTCAACAAATGCTATTACACATTTTCATCTTCTTATATTTCCTATTTCTCAATATAAGCACTAATATTAATTAAGAGGGGTGATAAGTTTCTCTTAACGGGTAGCTGGGAGAGGTAGGACTGGTTTCCATTTGATTGGTTCTAATTATATTATTAAGGAGATGGGATATATCTATGTAGGGTAATTTAATTATTTACTCTACCAAAATAATAAGATAGTGTTTCCACTAAGGTCTGGGACCCATGAACCCCCTTGAACTGGATGATTACCACGAAAAGGAGGTAGCAGAATTAACTGGACAGAAAGGATTTGACCCACAGCCTGTAAGTAATTGCAATCAACTCTGTTATTTAAAGGGAGAATATCCAGTGTTGATATCCTTCCTGCTTTGCCCACTTTTATATCTGTCATGAGTACTGGTGCCCAACCTAGCAAGGAGAAAATTTAATTTTAGAAGTTAATTCTGAACTGTTTGGAACTGATTTGAACATCCTTTTGTACTCTTTGGAAAAACAAAGTTTCTTTTCTTCTTAGCAGTGCTATTTTTTAACAGATTTTCTGCTATGCTACTATTGGCTTAAAAAAGAATAGAGCCTAGCTAGTAATTCAATGAGATTCTTAATAAATTGGATCTTTGCATATTTGTATATCTTGTACATCATCATTGCTTTTAAAGAGATTAAAAACTTCTTCGTGATATTCACAATAATTGAGAGTTGGCTGAATTACAATAAAAAACCAATAAATTCTCTGCATATATCAATAGAGAGACTTCTTAGTTGATTATGTGAAATGGCCTGGAAGAAATGATCAAGCCCTTTCATAACAGAAGGTATAATCTGTTGACTTTATTACATAAATAAAGTGAAATTACTTATTAGTATGCATATATGTGGTTTTATTTTAGAACTTAATTTTTCCCCTCTGGCTACAAATTTTAAAAACAAAATGTTATCAAACATGTCAACTATGGAAGACACATAAAAGATGACTATTAGATTATTTCAGTATGAACTCTAGACTGAGATGCACATATTCAAGTTACATTAGCTTCAGCATTTACCACAGTGATGTAAAATCATAACACCAGAAATAGGTCTGTACACTTTTTTATCATTCACCAAATGGCTTTCAATTGTCTTGATTTTTCTCTTGTGATGTGGATTCTCTGTGGCTAGAAAATATACATATACTCTGACACTATCAGGTGTGTTCAACAACTGTCCATATTTCCACATGACCCTGTAGGGATTAGCCCCTCAACAAGCAACTTTATCATTTTTACAGAGAAACACTTGTACACAAAGGATGTTTGTGAAGTATATTGAGCACAAAATGTGCAGATAAATCATAACAAGATAAAATATACATAAAATCATTTGAAGTTTAAAACAGTTTCAGTGAAAATTGCTGGCTTATGACTGAAATGTAAACAATAGACTCTGGGAAAGCTTGTTTTAGATACAGATATGAACTTTTTTGTATAGAATAAAATATGGGTAATAAAAACTGCTTGTGCATAAGGGATACTGTCAGTTTCATATAAGCCCTATCCTGCTTTTAATGACAAATTTAACAAAGCATGCAGAGCTGGAATTTTTCCTTTCTTCATAGTATATTTACTCAAGCTGGGTACAGTGGCACAAGCCTGTAATCCCAACAGCTCGGGAGGCTGAGGCAGGAATACTGTGAGTTCAAAGCCAGCCTCAGCAAAAGGTGAGGCGCTAAGCAACTCAGTGAGACCCTATCTCCAAAGAAAAATACAAAATAGGGCTGGGAATGTGGCTCAGTGGTCAAGTGCTCCTGTGTTCAATCCCCCTGTCCCCCTAAAATACCACAGTATATTTACTCAAAGTTGATCAGCTAAAAGTTAAAAAAAAAAAAAAAAAAAAAGTTAGTGACCCAGTATGACAATTCCTCCAACTATAAGCATATTTGTTTCAAAAGCCCATTCTTTAAGTCCAAGCTACAGTTATTATTTTCTCAGCATTCTCATTCTATTCTCTCTCCTATCAATTCCATCATCATACATAAAGTCTTTATTTTTTAAAATATTTTTTTAGTTGTACATGGACACACTATCTTTATTTTTATGTGGTATTGAGGATCAAACCCAGTGCCTCACTCATGTGAGGCAAGTGCTCTACCACTGAGCTACAACCCCAGCCCCACAGTCTTTATTTTTTTCATTATATTACTATAAAATTTTTTCAAACATACAGAAAAGTTTAATAATTTTAGTTAATATCCATATACTTACTATGTAAATTCTATCATTAATACTTTAGTATACTTGTTCTATCACAATTTAATTTACCCACCTTTCCATACCTCTAGCCATCCAGCAATATACTTTATTATTTTTAACATGCTTTTACAGACATTAGTATACTTTACAGATATTAGTATACTTTACCCCTAAACATTTGACAGGCATATCATTAACCAGATTTCAGCATTTGTTTGCAGTTTTTTTCTTTGAAAGTGAAATATATGTTAGTTGAAATTGCACCAATCTAGATTGTACTTTTACTGAGTTATGACAAATGCATATACCTTTGTAATCCAAACTCCTATCATAATATAGAAAACTATCATCATTCCAGAAAATTCCTTCATGTCCTTCCCAGTCAACTCTTCCTTCTTCCTGCCACCCAACACATCTCTATTAATGTCACTTAGAATATACTCCCTACTTTTGAAGTTACTAGTCATGACTGAGTTCATAATATTTATAACACATCTCAAAAAGAATCATAGACTTAACACATTTTAAAAAAATGACTGAGTTCATAATATTTACAACACATCTCAAAAAGAATCATAGACTTTTTAACACATTTCAAAAATAAGCACAGATAGACTGGGGTGTACAGTAACAAAGCATGGATAAGATGCTGGGTTCAAACCCCAAGCATCAATAAATAAATAAGCAAGCACAATCATAACACCTCAGACCAGTGCTTCTCAAAGCACAACAGAGATGCTTGTTAAAAATGCAGATTCGTGGGCTGGGTGTTTAGCTCAATAGTAGAGCAAGTGCTTAACATGTCTAAGGCCCTAAGTTCAATCCCCAGCACTTCCTCCGCAAAAAATTCAGATTCCTAAGTCCCATTGTAGACCTTCTGAATTACAATTTTAAAAGGTCCAGGTTAGGAATTTTATTTTCTGCCATCTTTGAAGGTAATTCTTGCATGGGCTCTTTCTCGTCCAGCGAGGAGGTCCACGGAACAGGGTAGAGGAGAGTATAGCTGCAGAGTCGCTATTCAAGACCTCCAGAGACCAAGCAGAAAGCAGGTCTGATTTTATTGTGCAGTTACCATGTATATGTACTCAGGCAGTAGCTAAGCAGATTACAGGCTGCCACCAGTGCAATTTCTGCTAACTGTTCTTGCAGCGACCAGTCGAGGAATGAGCCATAGAGCAAGCACAGGGAGTGCAATACGTGGCCTTGTGCCCAGGGCTGTGCTATGGGGTAAGCAGCCTGCCGCTCACAGGCCTAGCACAAGGAGAGTGGCCTGTCACTCAGATGCCCTTAAAGTATGCCATGTATGCAGTACTCCAGGCACTTGTCCCCACAGTTTTATTTAGAGACAGGATCTCACTTAGATACTTAGTGCCTCACTGTTGCTGAGGCTGGCTTTGAACTCGCTATCCTCCTGCCTTAGCCTCGGGAGCCACTAGGATTACAGGTGTGTGCAACTGCGGCTTCAATGCCATTTTTTCTTGAGGAAAAAGGAAAAAGAAGTTTTATTCCTTTGCAGATATCTTTAAATATATCTTAAAATTTTTTGCAATGTGCACTCCTACACCTATCTCACTTTTACACAATAGAAATTGGAATGAGTGTTCACCTGCCACTTATTAATATTTATCAAGCAATTAATTTTCTTCTTTCTCTTCCATCACTACAGCAAGAAAAATTCCACTCTATTTTAAAACCCTCCAGACCCTTGGAAGGGCGAATCGCCCGACTTACTCAGAATCGACATCCTCTGGAGGCTATTATCCAGCAAAGTCCAAGTTCCTGTCCAGATTGTACCCCTAATGTTTTGTGTACTTTTCATACCTTTATACCCAGTTCTGTAGAAATGATGGCACTGAGTGATAATATACCAGCTGGCGTGACCCATAAAAACCAGAATATTGAAGAGAAGATCAAGGAAGAACAAAGCTTACTATCTAACTACTCACTCAAACCTCCTTACTCAACAAAGGATCTGACTAGCATTTATGACATAAAACCATTTCCAAAAATCACAGATACTAAAAAGACAGAAGATTTGTACTGGAGACAGCTGTCATCAAAACCCCGACCTATATCTTACTGTAAATCAAGCGAATACATTCCCTATGAATGCTCTAAATCTAACCTACACAATCCATATAATATATGTAGAAACCGGGTTAGCTTTGCTAAACCTAGTCTTTTACAAACCAAACCAGACATGGAAATAATCAATTTAGAACGTAAATATTTAGGTAAGCCAGAAGAACAGCTGGGCTTGAACATGGAACAAAACGAAGAAATAAGATCTATTCTGGGTTGGATTCCTAAAGCTGGAGTGGCCAAGCCTCAGACCAACCTTCTGGATCTTAAGAACTCTTTCTCAAAAACTGGTGCACAAAAACGTTTCTATAAATCAATTCTAGACGACCATAAAGACCTTAGGGATAAGGTGAATTCAGGGATGAAACACCAGTTCTATGGCCATAATTCCTATGATTTCTATAATTGAGGTATTCCTTCTTCCCTTCAAAACCCAGCCTCTTGCAAGAAAAAAAAATATTACAGAAATTCCTTCATTTTGCTGGCATATGTTTCTAGAGTAAGCCATAATGACCTCATTAAGGAGGTTTATGTTTTCAGGAATTTAAGTTAGGACCTAGTCAGAGGAACCAAGAAAAGGTGATGTTTGATATCTTGAAAAGTTTGAGTAATTTGGCAATAAAACATTACTACCAGAAAAATGTATACTCCAGCCTCATCTTCAAATTATACTCTAAAGAAGTTTTCCAAAATTTCATGAAAAGCAATGTGTACAACAAAGTTTACATTATCGTTTTACAGAAAGTACAAATTTGAAAAAACTCAAATTCTCAAGAATTGAGACATGATTATACAATCTGATGTACCTTAATAAAATAAATGTGAATCCTGTCCTTTTATGTAAATATTTGCACAAAATACTTTTTCCAGTTCCACCAGAGGAACTGGTATCTACGGCAGTTGTAGCTTTATAAAATGTATTTCCTAAGTCTTAAAAGTTGAAATTACTCCTTGATCAATGGACTGCAGAATGGATGTTATGTAAGCCAGCATAAAAACATTACCCTTATTGTACATCTCCATCAGAGCTCTTAGGTAAGCAGGTACATTGTTAATAAGGAGTAATTTTTTGAAAGAAAAAAATTTTTGAACAATTAAGTCTCAGTGGGCTTAAAATATTGACTAAACCATCTTGTAAACACATGCTGTCATCCAGGCTTTGCTCTTCCTCTCAGAGAGCACAGTTGATTTAGTATAATTCTAAAGGACTCTAGGATTTTTGGAATAGCAAATGAGTATATGCTTCAACTTAAAATCACCAGCTGTATTTTCTCTCCTACCAAAAGAGTTGTCCTGTCTTGAAGCTTTGAAGCCAGGCATTGATTTCTCCCATCTAAAATCCTAGATAGCCTCACCTTCCAATGTAAGAATGTTTCATCTACTCTGGAAAGCAGTTGTTTATTGTAGACAGCTTAATCAAGTAGTTTACTAGAAGTTCTAAATGACTTGCTTCTACATCAGCACTTGCTATTTCACTTTGCAATTTTATTTTATGAAGATGGCTCATTTCCTTAAACCTCATGAACCAACTTCTGTCAGTTTCAAATTTTCTTCTGCACCTTTCTCATCTCTCTTATCCTTAACAAAATCGTAAAGAGAATTAGGGCCTTCATCCGGATTAGGTTTTGGCTTAAGGGAATGTTATGGCTGGTTTGATCTTCTATCCAGACCACTACAACTTTCTCCACATCCGCAATAAGATAAAAAACCATTTGGCTAAATCAAAGTAGAAGTAGATAGAATTCAGGAAATTAATCAGAAACTGGGGGCTGAATTTGAGGGACGAAGAAGTCAAAACGTGACGTCCCAGTGACAGAAATGCATGTCAGGAAAGGGAGCTAGGTTTGAAGTGTAACTCGAAGCAGTGATAATAAATAAAACCTGCATTTCTAATATGACCAGAAGGGATGCAATCCTTTAGACTTTCCAGAACACTCTAAATCACCTGAAATCGTGTTTCTTTCTAAATGCTTGCCTGCACACCCGTCTGTACAGAGACGCGAAGGGAAGGAGGAGACTTTAGAAGAAAAAGAAGCGGCAGGCATGGGGCCAGAGCGATCACCTGCAACTGCAGTACCTTCCCCAGTCTTGGGAGTGAAGGCAAAAAAAGAAAATGGTCACAAGCTCCTGTCAAATAACTCCTGGTTCCTTGTTCATGGTATCCATCGAGGTGCTGCTGGCACCAGCGGTGGAAATACGACCCAGCCTGGGTAAAGGTCGCCAGCTGACCGGATGGTAGACCTTTAAGTGTGTCAAAGTTAGGGCGACTCCCTCTGGACGGAGATCGAACGATCCCCTCAAAGATATTACAACCTTGCTCTGGAGAATTGATACCTTAAGCTGTTTAATTTCCTCAAGCCAAAAGTCTCCGCTCCACCCTCCACGCCAGCACACGCAGGCGCGCAGAGGCTGGGAGTGACGTCAGCCCCTCCCGGCACCGCCTCGAAGTCAAACATCCAAGGCCTGTCGTAAGAGCCGGGCAGGAGAGGCCTGGAGAAAAAGGGCATCCACGCGACACATCCTACCCTGCTAGCTGGTAAGCGCGCGCACGTTGCTGCCTGACCCTGGACGCCATAGCCAATGAGGCTCCGTAACGTCACCGCGTATGAGCCGGCTAGGCCTCACGTCAGGCCGCGGGGAGATGGAGCGAGTGCGGTTGCACTGACACCGGTACATAGGCGCAGACCGGCGTGTCCTTGGGGTAGAGAGTGGGACGTCCGGCTTCTGATCGGGATCCTTCTTTGCTTCTTTGCGCTAGCCACGAAAGAACGGTGAGCACGAGGCGTAGAAACTGCAGCAGGTGGGAGAAAAAGCTGTGAGAGGCGCGCACAAGCGTGGGAGCACGCGGGCGGACGCGAAGCCGATGCCAGGGTCTCGGAGTGGAGCTAGCGCGGGGTCGGCTGGGCTGGGACTGGGCAACCAACACCGGATGTCTTGAGATGGAGCAGAACCGTAACTAGGTAGAAGTCTGGACCCGGTGGAGAATTGGAGGCGGTTTGGATGCCGATTCGACAAAGATGCGGTCCCCGGGTTGCCATTGCCCAGGGCCTGTGGAAGTGATCGGCAACAATTCCTCCCGGAGGGCAGGAGCGTTGGCAACGCTTCAGGTTCTCCTTCAGAGAGCCAAAGCTGCCGCTCTTATGCCAAGGAGTCAATTTTTTTTACCCCTGGGCCATGTGTCATTCCTCCTGTTAAGCGTTCGGACATCTCAAAAGGATGTTGCACCAGTCTCCTTGAAACTGATCTGAGTGAGTGACCTCGTGGTCACCCTGGTGGAGGTGGGAATATCCCTGTCCCAGCCTTTCCCTGTCCTCTCAAACCACAGCAGTGCAAGTGAAGTGAGTTAAGCTAGACGTGGTAAGGCAGAAAGAGCTGAGGACCCCCCCCCCCCGCCAATACCTTTTAAAAATTAACGGGTTTTGCCTTATCTTCAAAGAGAAGTGCCTGTAAGCTGTAGCACAAATAAGTAATTGGGTCTTTGTAAAGTTCGGATTTTAGTGGTTTCAGTTTAATGCAGTTCAGTTCAGCTTCCGATTTGTGACTTTTTGACCTTGACCTCATCTTTTGAAACTGAATTTTGAGCTAGGTTCCCACTTCTCTTATTTGGGTTTAACCTTCTGTCTCATACATACAAATATATATTTTAAGGAGATTCTCCTATATAGTAGTTGTTTTGCTACTGAAGAGTTTTGCAAATGTACTAAGTAAAGCAAAATGGGTCCTGGTACTTAGTGTCATAGATTAGCAGTTGAGTGGAGTGATCATTGGTTTCCACCGTATTATTCCTTAGGGAAAACAATTTTCTGTATTACTGTTGGGTCTTCCATTTTTTTAGAATTAAAAATGGGTGATGTTGAGAAAGGCAAGAAGATTTTTGTTCAGAAGTGTGCCCAATGCCACACTGTGGAAAAGGGAGGCAAGCACAAGACTGGGCCAAATCTCCATGGACTGTTTGGGCGGAAGACAGGTCAGGCTGCTGGATTCTCTTATACAGATGCCAACAAGAACAAAGGTAAGAGAAGGACTGTTGTTAAATAACAGCACAAATTGCATGAATGTACTCTTATTTGGAGTATCAATTATTTAACCAATGCATCCCTTTTTGTTTAGGCATCACCTGGGGAGAGGATACACTGATGGAGTATTTGGAGAATCCCAAAAAGTACATCCCTGGAACAAAAATGATCTTCGCTGGCATTAAGAAGAAGGGAGAAAGGGCAGACCTAATAGCTTACCTCAAAAAAGCCACTAATGAGTAATAGCTACTGCCTTATTTATTACCAAACAGAAATGTCTCTTGGCTTTTTTATGTGCACCATAATTTAATTGATGTGATACACCAGAAATCCAGATCATGAATGACTGACAAAATTATTTTTGTTGGACAATCCTGATTTAAGTAAAACTTACTTGTAGTTAAATTAATATTTTGGTTATATTCCCATTCTATCACTGTTTCCCCTTTTTAAAGTTGTGGTTGGACTTAATTAGTAATGTTCGGTATTTCACAAAAATGGTGAATGACATCTGAAAACTGGTTTTATATTTAGTTTTATAGAACTGATTATGTGAATATGTTTAAAATATGGGGGAAATCCCTTCGCTCTCTCAGAACCAAGCATGATTCACATTTGTTTCAATTTCTGTTCATTAGCCTATTAAAGGTTGAAGATAAGGAAGCAGTGTCTACTTTATATTTTTGTTGACCATGCCAATTTAATTAGAATTCCCTGTATCTAAAATGCTGTTCTTTCCTTATGGAAAGGCATTTTTAGTGTGGTTTATGTATGATATTAAATAAAGAATATTTAACACTTCTCAAATTTAAAGCTGATCTATAAGTTCAGATGCTTTTTAAGTCCGCATAATACAGTAACAAGTTAGACTTTACTTTTTAATTCTTTATTTTCTAAGACTTAAGTTATCATTCAGGATTGTTTTTAAACAACTATTCAGAAACAATACTATGGAACATCTAGGTGGTTGGTAGTGGTGCTTTTTGCCAACTTATTAGATGGAAAGATTAAGGTAAAAGAGATATACCCATCCATAAAATTTGTAAAATACGTTATCATAAGATTTAAGATAATTAAAAACAATCACAGATCATGATTTTTTTGATTGTGCTTGATTTAATGACTAATGCCAAAACTATAATGGTTAAAAAGTACATAACCCTGCATGTCAGTGCAGCAGTGATTGCTAGTTAAGTACTTTCTTAACTTGGTCCTCTAGGACAACCTGAACTAAAAACATATTGCTAATTCATTCCTAGAGTTTCCTTGACTAGAAAGTAAATTGCCAAACATGAATAGAGGAGTGCTTCTGGTCATGGTTTTGACAGTGAATGATAGTGAATAATTAACACATATTATTTTGTACACAATCTGCCATACATACTTAAGAGTAGTCCTTGGAAATTAAAGATGGTGAACTTAAAGCCATAAAAAAACACAAGGGAAATAAATCTATGCAGGTAGAGATTAGAATCATGATTTTGTGGAACACTGAGGAACCTGAGAAAGAGGGTCTCATCTGATTTCAAAGGCATTAGGAATGATTAAATAGGCCTCTAAAGCTTGACAAAGTACTTTGTAAGTTTGAATCTTTATTCATAGAAGAAATGCAAGTAAGTCGCTTTGAAAAAATGGAGAAACAATTTTGGGAAGTCTTGAGAGACAGTATAGCATTTAGCTTACAAAGGACAGTTAATAGACCTTTCATCTTGGTCGGTTTTACAAATTCAGAAATTATTTAATCCAGAAGTAAAGCTAGTGATTTAGCCATTATCAAATTGACAAATGCTGGTTAATTCATATAAAGGTGTACCTTTCTTGAGAGCTTAAAGTATTCTTATTTCTGTTTTCAGTTAAGACCTACATTGACGCAGATGGGTACCTGCCATGTTCTAGGCCAGTTAAAGTCAACTAAAACACCCTAAAGATTTAGAGTGTAAATGATAAAGTAATTAAAGCTAAAAGAAATATATTTCTCAGGAAAAAAAAAAAAGAAACTGGGGCAAAAACCTAGAACTCTTAATTGCATATCTAGTTCATTGTAGGTGGCTAGGTTAGTGGTATCAAAAGTGAAAGCCAGATATATTTAAGGAGTATTTCTTCCAAGTGCTACCCACACTCTGGCTTTTGTCTAGAACTAATAACAGCATGTGGTTATCAACCCCTTGAAATATGGGGGGGGGGGAGGTGTGACTGTAGAAGTGAATTTTTAATTTTATCCAAATAATTAATTTTCCACAGCCACAAATAGCTAGTGACCACTGTAATGAAAGTGCTTCTCCTTTAATCTAGGATTCTTGCAAATACATTATAATGCCCCTCTGAACACTGATTCCAGTACCTTATTCTTTAAACTTACTATGCTCACCTCTATGAACTTACCATGGTTTACCTATTCTATTCATTGGCTGGCAATTCATTTTAGATAGGTGGCTCTTTTCTTTTTTTTCAGTTGTTCATGGACCTTTATATTATTTATTTATATGTGGTGCTGAGAATTGAACCCAGTGCCTCACACATGTGAGGTAGACATTTTAATTTTTATTGTTGGTTCAAAACATTACATAGTTCTTGACATATCATATTTCACACTTTGATTCAAGTGGGTTATGAACTCCCATTTTTACCCCGTATACAGATTGCAGAATCATATCGGTTACACATCCACTGATTTACATATTGTCATACTAGTGTCTGTTGTATTCTGCTGCCTTTCCTATCCTCTACTATCACCCCTCCCCTCCCATCTTCTCTCTCTACCCCATCTACTGTAATTCATTTCTCCCCCTTGTTTTTTTTTTTCCCCTTCCCCCTCACTTCCTCTTGTATGTAATTTTGTATAACCATGAGGGTTTCCTTCCATTTCCATGCAATTTCCCTTCTCTCTCCCTTTCCCTCCCACCTCTCATCCCTGTTTAATGTTAATCTTCTTCTCATGCTCTTCCTCCCTACTCTGTTCTTAGTTACTCTCCTTATATCAAAGACTGTTAAGAATATGAAGAAATCCATGTTGGCTGTCTAGGAAGATGGCTTTACAGGCATCTGGCCCTCCACAGTTGACTAGTCTTGGCTATTTCCTATTGGTCAAACCTCAGACAAAAGTAAACTAAAACCAATTCTTTTTAGGCTATTTGGCTGCCCTTTGTCATACCAGAATATCTTGGAAGACAGAATGTTGAACATGGAATGAGAGCTAAGGTCTTAAATTTTTTTAACTTGTACATGGACACAATATCGTTATTTTATTTATTTATGTGGTGCTGAGGATCCAACCCAGTGCCCCACGCATGCAAGGCAAGCACCCTACTACTGAACCCCAACCCCATCCCATACAACTGCCCTTTTATGTATCCATTCTTTCCCAGTTTTCTTGTGGTTATTTTAGACATTCAGTGTTTCTCCCCTACACCTTTCTAATGACAATTGGCCTTGCCTCTCATTTCAGATATGAATTCTCAGCTTCCTGACTGCAAGGAAGTTTTGGGTCACCCCCCACCCTCCACTTTGAGCAATAATGATCTACATTCAGTGATGGTTCAGAAAGTTCAATTACATGACAACAGTAGATACAGATGTCACATACTCCAGAATGGTCACTCTAATACCCATTCTTCCCCTGCCTCGATCTCCTATGGGAAGTTGGAAGAGCTCTCCACTTGCTTTCTTCTCAGTGCAGGAGCTTTGCATGGTGGTCCACACTTCAATACAAATTATGCTGTCTGCGTAATTCTGGAAGCTATCCTTTTTCTATTCACCTTAAGTGTAATGAAATTATAATTTGAAGACAGCAGGTGAAATTTATAGATTTTCCCAAGTTACCTGTACGGAGTTGGCTATATTTTATTGTCAGTAAGATGAAAACTATTTACACTTTGTACTGGTGGATGTTGGAGGAAGATGGCCCAAGGGTCTGAGTCCTCTGCTGGCACTGCTTAACAGAATCTGAGGCATGTTAAACTTTCTGCACCTTAGTTTCCTTATCTGTAGATTAACACTAACATCAGTCCTTAAGGTTGTTTCGACAAATAGGAGAATATATTTGGCATATACAATAAACAATCAAATGTTAGCTATTTTTTAACTAAATGGGCTGGACAATTTGATAAATTGTTTGACAGTTGGACAAATTGCATGGAGGGACGAAGACACTCACTTAGATGATTCTTCCACGTAGAGTGAACAGAAAGTTCAGTGGGAGAGAAGTGCCTACAATTAGAGATTTATATCCATGACACAGGCACTAATTCTAGTAATTCACCTGTCAAGTGATATTTCATTCCCTATTAGGGACCTGGACTAAGAATCAGTGAACTCTAACCTCCACCAAATCCATTTCCTTCAAGAGCTTTTTCTGGGGGGATCTGAGACTTGTAGTAGCCAAACGTTAAAATGGGTGTCTAATTTTCATATATTCTCATCTTCTAAGTGTGTCTAGTTTTTCTAGCAACCTGACAGTTTTTAATATCCTATTTACTGGAAAAAATGCAAGCTTTACCCCACTTCTCCTAAACTTTAAAGGTAAATATAAACAAAAAAGGAGACAAATCAAGACAGGTGTCTGTACATCAGAGGCATCTCACAATGGAAAGAACTTGAAGGCTTCCTTGCAGCATCCACACTCCTCTCACAGGAAGGTTTATTGGGAGGTTCAGTCCAGGTCATGGGAGGGTGTAACCTAAAGTGCCCTTACCTGTGAACAACTAGTTCTTTATCCTGGCCTGTCACAGTGCATTGCTAACTTGTTTTGAGCAACATTCAATCGTATATTTTTAGTAACTGTTGACCCTGGAACCTCAACACCTCAGTAATTCTAGAATGGACCACACATTTTCTGTATCAGTCACTTGGCTCCAGAAAAGTAAGCTTCCCAGTTGTTTCAGAGTTTTGCTTGTCTGTTTAGCATTCCTTTTGGGTCTCATGATTTATGGAATGATAAATGTCACTTAATGCTGAAAAGAAATAATTCTTGGATGGGCATATATGTAAGATGAAAGGAAAAAAAATACTATGTTAGCCAGACACTGCTGAGCTCACAGGTCAGAGAGGTTAAGGGAAGGGATCTGGGAGAGGAATTTTAGCTTGTGAGTTTCTTGAAGCAGCCTGGTTTAAGATAATAAAAGAGTCAGTGCTTAGTGGGAAGTGACAGGAAGGGCCTGCCCATTTAACCTCCTCCCAACCCAGTATCTTGCAAAATAAGTTAAGGAGGGTTTTTTAATACTGTAACTCAAGGTCAAGTAAAGACTGAGATATTCTTTCACCAAACAAAATGTAGAGTGTACCTGCCAGGGTCTTTTAGTAGATACCCTATCTAAAAATTCTGGTGGTTTTCTTTCTAGTCTCCATCCTTTAAAAGTTGATTAGGCAGGATAGCACCAAGGCCTACCTATCTTAAATACTAGAGAACACAAGACAGGGCGTGGTGATTTTTCTAATGGATCCTGTATGTTGAAGCAATTGCCCCTTCTGCCCAAGCTGGTTCTGCAGCAGAATGTCATGAAAGCAGAGATCTTACAGCCTTCTACATGGCAAATACCATAACTTTGAGTTCACAGGAAATAGGGGTGTAGCCTTCAGGACAGTCACAACCTTCCCATCATTTCCTCCTCCCCTATTTCATTGATCATTCATTCTCAGTCTCCATCATAAGCTTCTTTTTTGGGTTCGTTCCTGCAGACTGCCATTTGCCTACTCAATACCCATTCTCCCCTTCAATTTTAGTAACAGTACCTTGATCTTTTTCAGAGAGATAATGGACCTGTAACAGACTACACTGTCCAGCTTTCCTAGGTGTGGTCAGCATATGAAATAGAGTC